AAAGAGACAGACATCCTGTCCTGATCATTCACCATTCATTTGACAGTAATCACACAGCACTGCAGGTCACCACACATATCAATGTCTTGCTTTAGTGTTAACTAGAGTTTTATTAATTCAGCTTTGTGTGTGTGTTCATGTGAGCCTCAATAAGACTCAAGATCACTAGATCTAAACACACCTACCAAACTTTGATCACAGTATAACACGACAACCGTGCTTAATAATTATTTTTTAAGTAAATAAATGACAACGTATTCAGTAATCAAACAGCTGTACTGGGTGGTTTCTCCAGCTTAAGGAGCCAGGGAGGAGCCGATTGTGCTGAAATGTCCTCCAATATCAATGGGGCATTTTTAGTTCTAAGACTGTGATCACAGATGCGGTGTAGGGCTAGGGATACCGAGTGGGAATTCTTAAGTTGCATACTATAGTAATTTATACTTTGGCAGTTTTTGACACTTTATAAATTGCTTCTGCACACCTTCTCAATAATTGTGCACTTATTTTCAGATGCAGAGAAGTTCGAGGAGGAACTCTGATCTATTTCACTGCAGCTTTGGGGCAACCTGAACGATTTAGGTTGATTTCTAGAGAAGTAAGTTCCCTGGCTCCCTCCGGTTAGGATCTGATAGTTTCCTCAGTTACTAAGAGTCTTCTTCCTGCTATTTAAATCTGTCTGCTCTGGTTCTATCTTTAGCAAGCATTCAGATAAGACCTGAGGAGTTAATGTTTTCCTGGCAAAACCTGGAGGAATACTTTGCTGTTCTTTCCCTTCTTTTGTGAAGACAAGAGAACTGCTTAGCTATAAAATAGTCAGGTTGATCTACTTTAACTAAGGCAGCCAGGCGAAATGGGAGCTCTTCTTCACAGCACAAGCAGCCTGTCCGAGGTGGATGCAAATATCCCACTGATGTCACTGAAGGGCAGGAAAATGAACCTCAGAGTCAACAGTTCAGATGGGTCCTACTGCAATGGTGAGTTTCCAGTGAGTTAGGGTTGGGCCAGGAGGATTCAAAAGACCTGATTAATCGGGACGCTTTTAGAACTACACTGTGTCAAAGGACAGAATGGTATTTCTGAATGTGACAACTACTGCTCATAAAATCTGGGACAGGTCACAAATGGCAACAGGGAAAATATTCCAAAGCTAAAACCACTATGGCGCACAGAAGGAGCATTGTGAAGTGAAAGAACCTTTTAGGACAACAGTAATTCTTTTTTTTTTTTTTAACTCTATAAAAGCACTATCACTGCATTTTTTATTCATAGAAAACAAAAGGAGTAGGCAGAAACAAAAAAAGGCCTGGTCATTTGCAGCATCTATCAGCTTTCAACTTGGCTCTCCTATCCAGAAGTGTCTCATGCAAAAATCCATCTTTCCTAGCCTTTTTAAGAATTTCACCATCTTCTTTACTGATTTTAAGCTTATGGTCTTGGAAGCTCTGAAATTTTTTTTTATGGAGTTGATTTCACACTGTTTTACATTCCCTTTGTCTTCTTCTGGAATGTCATCTTTTTTCTTGGTTTCTCTTTCAGCACAGGATCTAATCTTTATCATTTCTTCTCCTGCTATTTTACTGTTTGCTTCTATATCACCTGCTTCATTGCATCTAATAAAGCAACTATTTAAGGCCAATAAGGCCATTTTCCCATCTTGAAACCCTGGTTCCCACTGTTTTCTTGGTCCAATGGCATCCGAATGCCCAACACCAAGTCCATCTGACTTGATACCAAGATATTTTCCATAGCCAGATTTCAGGGCAATTCTGGAATCAGACAATTTGACAGCAGTAAACTGGTCTGGAGCACTAAGACCTTCATCAACTTCTTTATGTGGTGCTCCCAGTGTAAAAAGACCATTGTCAAGGAAGACAGTAATTCTTATACTGTATGGAGGAAAGAGGAGTAGGGCAAGAGCCATTCCATTCCTCAGCAGGGCTGGTTCCCCACCAAGCTGCCCCTCACCACTCTGGCTCCCATGGGGACTCTCCTAGCATTATATGCACTTCCCTGGGTTGTCATGGAGGGCACTGTAAAACGTGGGAAGTGTTAACACACTGACCCCGTGTTAGTCAGCTTCCCAGTACTGTAATGAATACCTGGCACAATCAAGTGATGAAGAGAAAAGACTTTCTTCTTCTCATTGTACCCTAAATTCCAGTCCATGACTGACTGGTCCCATTGCTTTTGGGCCCATGGCAAGGCAGCATAGCAAGTCAGGGCATGTGTGGAGGAACAAAACCTCTCACTTCATGGCCTGGAAGTAAAAAAATAAGGAAGAAGAGGTCTGGGAACCCTTCTTTCCCTTCCAAGGGGATGCCCCCAGGGACCCAAAAGTGACAGGTCCATAGGCCCCACCTCTTAAAGATTTCACCACCCCTCAACTTCAACACATGAGCTTTTGGGGGACACTTGAGATACAAACCCGAGCAGCCAGGAACAGTCACTTCTATACTGGTTCACACCAGTCATTTTAGTATGTATGTGGCAAAGAGCATTCCTGAGCTAATACACCTGGATGATGCACCAGTGAAGACAGAAAACGTCCAGAGTAAGTGATGCTCTGCGTGAGAGGGAAGAGATGTAGCATTGAGCACACTTTTTTGGAGCAGATACTGAAGGAAGCAGAAGTTTGGGGGTGACTGCATTAGGGACTCCCCAAGTTGGTTTTGCTGATACTGACATTTTCCTAGAGATGGCTCTGTTGGGAGTTTCTTCAATTAAGTTAAAAGAAACAGATGCATCTGTGTCTGACCCAAGGCAGGCTCTCACCTCCTGTCCTCCTCATCTCTACCCCACTTCCTTTGACTCTTCCCTCTTCTCTCTAAGAGATTTGAAGTATCTGTTTCCCAAAGGGTCACCACCACCCAGCCCTCCCAAGTTGTGAAGTCACAGAAAGACTTAAGGATCTCCATTTTACAATACCTGCTTTACTAATTAGCTCCTGGAGGTGATGTATAGTATCCAACTCTCTGCTTCCAAAATGATCAACAATCCATATGGCTATTTGTTTTGCAAGGTCACAAATATTGGGTATTGCCAACATAACTATCTGGAATAAATCCAATGGCACATCAGTGTGAACCTCCACAAGGTGTTTGAATGCATTTGAGCCCAAGTGAAAGGCACTTTTGAGACCCTGCCTTTATTTATTATTTTAGTAACAACTAGTTCAGCCAATTGTTTCAAACCATTTTATCAGAGTTTCGACTTAGCATACAGATGGAGATTCTGTGTCTTTTTTTAAATGAAAATTCTCACTTTTCTATAGTAATTAATCAAGCAAAGTGACATCCTTTTGATTGCCTGGTTGATTATAAACTAGATCAAGCCACAATTTCTGGACTTAACTGTAGCAAAATGCTACGAAGAGTGAATTAGGCTTGGCTTACAATCCTGGCTGTGCTATCTTTGATGGGAGAGGCCCCATACCGAATGTGTAACCCTCTCTTAAATACTTTTTTTTAATCAAGAAGATGGTAGTTATCAAAAGAAGTTTGCATGAATTAAATGAGCTCATACCTGAGGAGCAGGCATTGTGTAGTGCAATGTGCCATATATTTCCGATGTATGAGTCTCAGATTAATGTCAACGGGGAGTTAGAAAGACAAGAAGAGGCTGGCAAGAAGGGCTTCTGAGAGGTAGGACTTGCTTGCTTATTTATTTATTTATTTTTGGTACCAGGAATTAAACTCAGGTCCTCGTGCTTGCCAGGCGGCACTGTGCGACTGAGTTACATCCCTGGGCCAGGTGGGACTTATTTAATACATAGGTTCTGGTCTTGAACACTAAATGAGGTCACAACTATGGGGTATTAGTCAATATCTCATGGAGCAAATATTTAACTGAAAGTAAGTCCTCCCCCCACTCAGGTTTTTTTCATAGGACATACAGGGAAGGGGAGCAGTGTTAGTAGATTGAGTTGCTTTTCCAAGTTGGCCGTCATGAGAGTTTTAAGACAATGGAAGGGTTCAGGGGCAGAAGAAAGTCTGTGAGTGAAGTTGGAGCCTTGATATGCTATGCCCTGGTGATTTTCCCCCAAATTAAAAAAGTTGATTTGCTTCCAAGAATTGAGACTGCTTTATAAACTTCTGACTAATGAGGAAACCTTAGTATTGAAAAGCTGAGCTAGGATTTTGAACGACCACTTTGCTCACAAAGAGTCCAAGATTCAGGCTTAGCCCTCCAATGGGAACCCACTGCTCCGCCTGCATATCTGGGCCACTGTTACTCCCGCCCCCCGCCCCGCCCCAATTCTAGCAGTGTGAACATCTCAGAACGTATTCGGTTTGCTACCGTCTTTCCTCAAAAAGAAGACCTAAGTGGAAAATAAGCCCTAGCTGGTCATTACCATGGTGATGGCCAGTGTCACGCAGAGGATTATCCCTCAGTGTTCTCTTGCTGGGTGGCTGCTCTGTGAAGCAGCTAAGGCAAGGATAGCAGATTGGGGCTGGCATTTTGATCTTTAGTTTTCAATCCTGATTATTTTCCCGCTAGGTCTTATTTTCAGGGAAACAGAGCATTTAACCCCTCAAGAACATGTGAATGAATAAAAATTAAAACCAAATAGCAATATATTCATGGAAATATGTAAATAAGCATCCCATTTGTGATGCTCAGTCTCACAGAAGAAATAGTTAAGGCGCTGCTGCTGGGGTGAATTTTGTTGAATGCTGGCTTTACTCAGTTCCTATATAGGAATTGCATAATGCACTTGCTATTTGTGGAAGTTGCTTCTCTTTCAGGACTGAAGCTACCGAAAAGTTCCCTACCCCTCTGACATTCCAATGACTTCCTAAGCAAGGCGTCAATCTTGTCTGGACCTCACCTCTGCTCTTGGAGGACACCCTGTCATACAGTACCAGTTTCTGCTGATTTCACATCCTCAGTGTGCTCTTAGTAGCGACAGAATCGGGAGGCAGGAGTAACCTGGATGTTGGGGCTGGGGAAGCAGTTCAGTACCGAGGCGACTGGCACTGAATTTCCCCTTCACTCACCATTGCGTGATTCAGCCACACTGGAAACATGCCATCTAGGAACTTGGGGTAAACAAGCTCTCGGTCATAGAGAAATATGGTCCAGAATGCCAAAAATACAAACTGGAAAGAAAAAATACAAAAACAGGACCGTTAAATTGGTTTTCAACCAGAATTCTCTAGACCATCAAGGAAACATAGCAAAATAAAAATTGATACCTGCTTTAATATCATAGATTCATTCACAACATGGGAATGTAAAATGAAGGGGAGAAGATTTTTATTGTAGGATTGCTCTAGCTGCGCTCTCTGGGGATATCTCAATGTGTCAATGAGTTAGGGATCAGTTATTTTTCAGCATGGCAGGGAGAGAAGATGTGGAGAAACTGATGCACAATTAATCCTGCATTGTACCCAGTAACTTCTTTCTCCTCTAAGCTTACACCAAGAGTGCCAAGACTGGGCGCATGGAATGGCTCCAGTCTTATAAGTTCATTGCTCACTTTAAATAGGTGTGGCAGCCTGCTCCAGTGGCACACAGCTGTATTCCAGCACTCTAGGAGGCTGAGGCAGGAGGATGGCAAGTTCAAGCCTAGCCTGGCAACTCAGCAACACAATGAGACCCTGTCTCATAATAAAAAATTAAAAGGGCTGCAGATGTAGCTCAGTGAGAAGGTCCTAGGTTCAGTCCCCAGTAACACACACACACAAACACACACACACACACACACACACACACACACACACACACACACACACACACGGAGGCACAGAAAGGAATAGCAGGGGATGAGAGGTGTCAAACTCCCGGGACCATTCACAAGCTAGTTCACTGAGAGTCCATCTCTCCCTTGCTCAGAAGTTTCATGCATCTCCATTTCTTGTCCTCCTCAGATATCTTGTCTGAGCCCCAGTCCCCTGTGTCACAAGTCAGTGCTCAGACTAGAGGGAGCTGAGTATTCATCTTGTGATCTTCCTATCTTCTGAAATTTCATAGGCTTACTTCCTAACCTTAAAAAATGAATGAGCTTCATTGTTAGTTGGATAAGCTTAATCTTTGGAAGTTTGGAAACTTAATCTTTAAGGGGATGGGAGTGGAGGTCTTCTACAAAGCAAACCTGGAATGCCAGTCCTGGCTCTGTCAGGGAAGAACTCATTAGTGTTCAGAGAAGCTCGTTTCGCATTTAGTTTTGAAGTCCCAGGGCAACAGGAAGCAGGACAATGACAGGTGGACAAAGGTAGTGATTTCTAATCATAGGACCTGCTGGGCAGCCGGCATGCTTGATCTCCTTTTGTTTCCACTCCAGCCAGTGAAAGAAGACATAAACAATGGCATAGAAATATAGGCCGCATCAGCAAGCAAGCATCCTGTCCTTTGCATATGCCTTGCTTTTTCCTAATGGCCATTCATCCAGCACAATGAATGAGGTGCCTACCTACTAAGTGCCCTGCACTGGGCCATCTTTTATTCATTTTATTTTCTTATTTGATGGTTTCCATTTGTAGAGGTAACATAAACTTACTGTAACAAGCAAAACAAGATATGTAAAGGGAAAATAAGCCACCTCCTCCCTCTGGCTCTCCATTCTCGTTACTCTGGTGGAATCAATGTTGTCTCAGTTGTCCAGTCCCTCAGTGTCCATGGGGGATGGGTCCTCAAGGACACCAAATCCACAGGTGCCCAAGTCTTGTATAAAATGGCCTAGCATTTACATATAAGCTGTGCGTATATATCCTGTAATTTAAACTGTCCTTAGATTACTTTTAATACCTAGTACAATGCGAGTGTTATATAAGTAGTCCATAAAATGTATTGGTTTTACAATTTTTTATTATGATGGTTTTAAATTTATTTGAATATTTTTGACCCCAGGTTGGTTGAATTAGTCGATGTGAAACACACAGAGATGAAGGTCAGTTATTTTATCAAGAAGGGTCCTTCAGACTTCCCCCTTAGACAGCAGTAAGTTCTTTGCACCGAGCCTTCCCAAAGATACAAACCTGAATGATAATGCTGATTGTCAATGTAGCCTGTTTTCTGAAGACATTTGAACAACAAGGTGCAGTCCTCAGATGGAACATTTAAGCAAATGCAGTTGCTCTGGTTACAGTAACGGATTCCCAAACATTCTTGATGCCCCAGAGAGCTGACCATCTATTTGTACATGTCTATTCTATCAGACACACATCTTGGTAACTCACAGTGCAGATAGGAAAAGCCAGGGTGGTGAAAAGCAGGTCTCTGAAGGCAGTGATGAACTTAATGTCTTTCCTCCCTTTGATTCTTTTCAGTACATCATCCAGGCATGCGACCCCGAAGAAAACAGCCTGCAAGAGCTAAATTCATTACAACAAATGAGGGCATTTTCATTTGCTTTAATTAATACATCCTTCACTGATGTAAAATCCCATCCCTCTGGGAGCAATGTTGATTCAAGAAGGAGGGGTTGTTGGGTTGTTTTGGTTGAGAGCCAATCCAAGGCCTGGGCATCCAGCTCATTGGGCCTTGACCTTGCTTGCTAAAATTGATTGAGAAAATTCGTTTAGGGGATAATAATGTGTACAGTATTTAGTGTAATGGACTTGAGCTAAAATGGAAACAAAATAAAGAGTCAGCTAAAAAGAAGGCTATAATGATAATAAAAGATACCTTGGCTGCACAAAAGTGGGAAAAACCAAACAGCTAGGTATGATGGTGGAAATGGTCAGGTGACTTCCTAGGAAGAAAACAAAGAAAAAGGCCTAGGGCTGAAGTCTCACTAGGAGCCCAGGCTCAGGGTTCCGGCAGAACACTGTGCTAACATTCCAAGTCCAAAGGACAGAGCAGCTGAGCCGTGGGCCTTGGTGAGCTACCGAGTACTATGAGGTTCCCAAGCAAGGTAGAAGAGAAGCCGTCTTTTCAAAGAAGTACAGGTTTAGTGTCCCTTATCCAAAATGTTCTGGACCTCAAGAAGTATTTCAAATTTTGGATTTTATAGATTTTGAAATATCTGCATATACACAATAAAACATCTTGGGGATGGGAGGTAGGGATAGACATGAAATTTATTTATGTTCCATGTACTGTCATTCTTACACAAATAAGAATGTAATTTTGTACAACATTTTAAAATAATTTTGTGCAGGAAACTGAGTTTCACGGTGTGACATTTTCCACTTGGGCATCAGATTGGTGCTCAAAAAGTTTTGGATTTTGAAGCATTTCAAATGTCAAACTTTTCGACTTGGGATGCTCAACCTGCAATATGGCTTGGAAGGGAAAACTCTGCCCAGTCTTAGAGTTTTTCATAATCTCCTGGTTTCCAATTTAAGGCCCAGTGGAGCACGACTACGTGAAGTTTGGTTTGGTTTTGAGTTATGCTCACGACAGAACCCTCGTTTACTTGTTGAAAGTAAAAGAAGGGTGGTCTGGACTCTTCTCTTAGCCCACAAGTTCTGGAAGAGTTGGACACAGCCACTATCCCAGGTGGGTTCCCAGACCCCTAGAACCCAGGTCACTTATACCCCAGCCTAGACGATGGAATCAGAATCTCAGGAAAAGGGTACAAGAGCTGATTTTTAAGCAAGCTCTTCAGGTGTCCCTATGTAGGCCAAAGTTCTAGGACCAGTGTATTAGACATAACTTTATCATTCAAAGTCCTTACTGACCACTCAGAATTCTAATAACTAACATAGTCATCATGTGTTATGTGCCAGGCACTGAACTGAGCTTTTAATTCTCATTACAACCTTATGAAGTAAGCGCTGTCGTTAAGCCCTGCCATCACCAATTGACAGATGAGGAAATTGAAGTAAAGAGAGATTAACAAACTTGCCTTAAATTTGATGGCTTCAGAGTTTGGTTCTTGAGCCAGACTTTAAAAAGGAAATTATCAGATTTCTAAGGCCATCTGACAAAAAGCACTGTGTCGGAAGAGAGACAATATGTCCAGGTGGAAGAATTAAAAACAACTTTAAAAAAAATACTGATGCTTGATTTCTAGCCCCAGAGGGTCTGCTGTAATGGTCCTGGGGTACAGAGTAGGCATCAGGATTTTTTAAATCCTCCCGAATGCTTCTCATTCTGGGCAGCTAGAGTTGAGAAGCTCCTGCCTAGAGGAACTTCCGCCTGGAAATCCCTATCAGGCAGTCTCCAGAGAGCTGGGCCAAGGAGTCCAGGTAGTTGAATCCCCATAGGGGCTGAGATCACTAGGGGCGCAGATCGGGGGACATCCTCTGATCTCAGGGACAGAGGGGGACCAGGAGCTGTCAAGGGGTGGAGAGGGACCGGGTGGCAGAAATCAGAACTGGACAAGAACCTCATGATCGCTAAGAGGGGAATGAAGCTTCTCACCAGGAGAGGTTGTGTGGAAGGGGCTGAGTGATGGCTTTTATGCCACACAGGGCTTTCCTCTCCAGCACTAGCCATTATGCTGGTGCTTTTGACATCCGTTCCTCGCGGGCTTTAGGACCCAGACCAGAAGTTTTTGCACAAGGGCGCCTCCTCTTTCCTCTTGGCCTCCCCACAGCCCAGCAGCTCTCCCCACACCCCAGCTTTCACTGCCACCTGCCCAGGCAGCAGTAGGTAGCTGCTGTCGTCAGGACAAGCAGGCATGGGGCCTGGGCCCCCCGGCAAAGAGGCTGTGTTGTTCCATGAACACCGCGATTAATCACACTCCCAGCGCCTGCCAGATCTTCCCTCTCTGGGGGAGAGGCCGCCCGCCCCCGGCGTGAAGTCCACATGACCCGCTGTCCTTAGGCCAGAGCTTCTCAGAGTCGTCGTGAGTCAAGCTCGTGCTTTCTGTTGCTCTTCCCAGTCACAGAAGGTGGAAATCAGATTAGGGAAAAGACTGCATTGCTCAGCTTCTCCGGGATTTCTCCATCGATAAAGTTGGGCTTCCCGGTGCCGACCTGTCGTCCGCTCTTCCCCTCCAGCCCTTCTTCCTCATCTTCCCGCAGGCACGCGCCACCCTGGCGTCTGCAGATGCCAACTCTCTGGAAGGCAGCCTTGCTGCCACTGATCTCACCCAACGCTGGCCTGCTGGCCTCCGTGTCAACGAGGACTCTTCGGGAACCTCCACACCAGCACCCAGGAGGGAGCCGCTAGGGATTTGCCAGGAGAAGGACATAGACAAGGTCTGGGGCGCAGAGGACCACAGAGCAGACCTAGAGGTTAAGGAGGGTGAGAAGCCACGGACGCTAAGAGGCAGCCACGTTTTGGTGGTGGGAGGGGGTGGGTCAAGGACAGTTTGGACCAACTCTGGCCTGCTTTCTCGCCAAAGACAGTGCAAGGCAATGTTTACAAAACACACACAGAAGGAACAATCTAGGAAGGAAGTGTCAGTTGCTGCTGTGAGCTCAGTTGTGCCTCCCCTCAACAAATTTACATAGTTAAGGGCTAAGGCCTAATACCTTTGAAGCTCAGAACCTCACTGTTCGTGGAGACGGAGTCTTTGAAGAGATAATTTAGTTAATTAATATGGGTAGTTCTAAGGCACCAGGACCTTTGTCCTTCTATGAATAAGAGGAGGTTAAGACATAGACAGGCATGGCGGGCGGGTAGACCACATGAGAATGCAGGGAAAGGTGGCCACCACAAGCCAAGGAGAAAGGAACCAGCCCAAGTGGCCCCTTGGTCTCAGATTTCAGCCTCGGAAATCCAAGACAGTGGAATTCTGGTGTCTAGCTGTCCCTGTGGCTCTCTGTTATGGCAACCCTAGCAAAGTACACAGTAATATTAAAATAGAATAGCAACAACTGGTCTTCTCTTAAGAATCTTGTAACACAATTACTGTCATTTCCATTTCTCAGCTACCCTAAGTGCCCAGGAAAGCAGACTCCCCAGTGTCCTCCTGTTCAGAGTTCACTTCAGAGCTGCAGCTCTCGTGCTCATCATCTCTGCGGGTCCCTCCCCAACTCTGCCCCGGTGCAGGATTCAGTGCCTTTTCCTGAAATGCTGCTGTTCTAAATTTGTTAGCTGCCTTTCGTTCCTGTTGCTAGCCAACAAACTTACTGCCAGTGAGAGCTGAATTTGCATTTTTTATAACTAATGCAATTTAAGAAACGGTAGCTAAGGGGTATTTAGTTTTTATATTCTTGTGTCTTCACAAATCCACAAAAATCTTAAAATCATAGAAATTTAGCCTAAGTCATCGACTTTATTGCCTTTCCTTAATGCCAGAGCCCTCATAAACTACCCCAGGAAATGAGACTTGCTTGTATTAAAAAATTATTCCAGAGGGGGAGATTCCACAAGTTCCCTGAGCAAGACGTTGCAGTGCCTGTTGGGTGAGTCAAGTAACCCAACAGCGCCCTGTTGGAGATTCTGTGTCTGACTCAGCCAGACGGGGACTTTCTTTTTCCTCTGCTTCAGAATGATGCAACCCTTGTGATGAAAGACTTGCCCAGAACAAACACTTTCTCTCAGTAGTTAAGAGAGTGTTGCTCTCTGAGGCACGCGGCATGGAGCTTCGGCCCGGCTGGTCTGTCTGTACTGATGTGTGCTGTACTATTCCAGGCAAAACTCCTGTGCCCTTAGTGGAAGAAAGAGACCTGGATAGAAGAATGAGATGAAGAACGTGGGAGAAGAAACAAAGTGAAGAACACAACTGGAATAATCGGGAGGAGAAAAGGAGATGCAGGGAGGGGTAAGGAAAAGGAAGAAAGGAGGTAAAAAAGGAATTACCTCGTGTCATGTACAGGTACCAACTCCACTGCAAACACGGCCTAACAAAAAAATACTCTGAAAAAAAGATCATATTGTTTACAATCAGCAAAAACAATATGGTGGGGTAATCCAGAGAGACGAATAGGGATGCTTGGCTGATGACAACAGCTCGGGACAGTGACAGGAGGTGTTGGGATACAGTAGGTCACAGGAGGGGTGGGGTCTCCTCGCCTGGCTCAGACCAATTAGAACCATGTTCTGGTCATCCGGTTACTTGGCCAATGTCGTGGGCAGCCAGGGAGGCACCCAAAATGGACTTGGGCACAATGCAGGTCAGGACTGGCTCTATGCTGACCTTAGGAGTAAGGAAACAAAGAGGAAGAGGAGGAGGAAGAGACAGGAGGCAGAGAAGGGAGAGGGATCTTGTGTACCCTTACTGAGTACCTGGAAAGGCCGGGAGCCTGGTAAGCAGCAGGGGAGATTGCTCGGGCTGTGCCTGCAGGGAGCTCCCCGTGCTCTCCGGACTCTGGAGCGGGTGGAAGGAACAGGTTGGAGGAGGGCAGGCTGAGGCAGAGGAGCTGGCGGAACCAGGTGAGCCCCTGGGAGCTAGCGCAGAGCTGGCCCTACAGAGCTGCCCTGGAGTGAGGCCTTTGTACTCAGGTTAAGCAGGGTGCAGCGACTGCTGGGAGGGACCAGAGCCTTGGGGAGGCAGCTTCCTCCTGCTGGGTGCAGGTCTAGGATGGGTCACCATCCGTGAGTCGTTGGAAGCCAATGGCCCTTCTCCTGGGAACTGGGAGTGAGTACCGCAGTGCTGGGGCGGTGGGAAGGTCCAGGTTCTTCAGCACTACCCTCGAGTAAACTGAGGCACAGAGAAGTTAAGGTCACATGGAAGTGAGCAGATGGCCAATGTTCCTGCTCCAAAGCTTGGCCTCCAGTCATTCATCTCTGTGCCGTGTGTAAAGCAAATGCTGTCTCTTGTGGCTGTTCAATACCTTACAGCCACTTTGTTTTGGGTGCTGGTGGCGACTCTCCCCATAGTGCTCTCCGCAGTTACCCTTGAAGCCATCTGGGAGCTAAAACAGTGGGCACAGAATCTTGGTGGGCAGATTCGGTCATGTGGGTTTTGACTCTGTCAGGGGTAAGAACTGCCTATGTTAATGCATTAACCTGCTGGCAGGAAGTAAGGGATTTCCACCAAGCAATGAAGTGAGTTCTAGGATATAGATGGAGCCGCCATCTTCTCGCTGTGTAGGGGCTGCCCTAGAGTTTGGACCAATGGAGTCCCCCGGGATGTCTCTTGCTCTAGCCCTGAGTCATGATCCTTGAGTTTGAGGATGAAGAGGTCAGAGTTGCCTGAGGCTTGAACCATTTGAAGGAGAACAAAGGGTAAGGACCCCCACCTCTGTAGCCAAAATGGGGGAGCCAGGGGAAGTGGGGAAAAAGGAGCGCCCAGAATCTCGCCTGCAGATCCCAGTTATATGGCACTAACTCGAACAGTGTTTCAAAAGGAAGTTTATATTTAACAAGGGGAACCTCAGCAAAGCCAGTGAACTCTGCACACTGCGTTGCTGCGGCTGACTGTCCTCCCATCTCTCCTAGCTCGCATTCCCTGGGGTGAGGGCTGGTGTAGGACGAGGAAGACATAGCCACGGCATGCCTGGAGGACTTGGCATGGAGGGCATTCGCCAATAGGAGCACCCAGGGCTGTCCTGGTCTCCACGCCCAGTTTCTGGGGTCTCCGTGGTGTAAGACTCGCTGCCTTCTGTTGGATGTACCTCCTGAGCTGCCTGGGCCTGAGTGTGTCCAGCTTGACAGCTAGCTACTGCGGGAAGGACAGTGGCCAGGCAGAGTTCTCTTCTAGCCGGCCAAGGGAGGATGACACACAAGGTGGAAAATGACCCGTTTCCAGATCCATGGCCCATCCACCTGGTGCTCAGTGAGGAGACAGGTGTCCCACGAGCTACACTCCCCACTGCACCTATCAGAGCTTCCCTTCCTGTCTCTACTCGCTGACGCCATGCTGCATGCTCGCCACCTGGCAGGTGGGATCCTTGTGGCCACGCCATGGTTAGGTACTATTTTAACTTCTATTTGGCAGAAGGGGAAATGATAGACACTCACCAGTGTCGAGCCCAGGTCACAGAGAGTGTGGGGTGGAACTGAGAGCCAAGCTCAGTGCTCAGGGCTGTAGACACCTGGCTACGCTCCTTCCTTCAGGGAATCAGTTAGTTTACTTCCTCATGAGGCAGAGTTCTCTACTTCTGCTTCCTCACACTGCTCTGTTGGTGGCTCTGTACCTTTGCCACCAATCCTGCGGTTGTGGCCTTCTGTCTTCTTTGATCCTTTGAAATTTTTTTGGGGGGGATGCAAAACTCAGAGTGCTAACTTGCCCTATGATGAGTTTTGCTCCTCAAAATGGGACATAACTGGTCAGGTGTGGTACAGCACACTGTAGTGCCAGCCCTCTGGGAGGCTGAGGCAGGAGAAGCATAAGTTTGAGCCCAGTCTATGCAACTTAGTGATTTAGCAAAATTCTGTCTCAAAAAAAAATAAAATTTTTAAAAGGGCTGGGAAATTGCTCAGTGAAAACTTTGCATTTAATCCCCAGTATTACACACAAAAAAGGGACATGATTTTCACTCAGAAATGAAAGCTGTTTAACAAGAGACATAACTTCCTGATAAGCAGCGTTGGATACTGACATTATCAAGCCAACGTCAATAAAATAAAAGAGGTAAAATAAATACTTGAGTGTTATAACAAGTTATAAAACCTCTACGATTTGATCAGAGCAACCATCAACTAATGAATCATTGTTAACATAAATCAGTAAAAAAAATAAGCCCACGAGATTTCAAGGGCTAGAAATTTTGAAGCCTCAAATTTTACCGTAAGTAACATATTTGAAATCTATCCTTAAATCAGTCCTCTGAAAGACACCCTGCCCGTCTTTGCCAGGTGGGAAACTATTCATACATGACACTGACACTTTTAAGAAATGACCACATAGTAGTCCCTTTCTATTCATGTATAATGGCAGAAGAAGCCAGCAGAGGTTTATTGCTCAGGAATGCAGGAAAAGCTAGGGTCAAGCCAAGTCAGCAGGCCACATGACTAGGTATTCAGTGCCGAGTACCTGGTACCCACCGCGTGGCAAAAACAATGTAGAACTGTAAACTGTTAGGGTGGGCAAGGGTCTAGAAGGAGAAACTCCTGTTTTTGAGCCATACTCTGATTGAAAGGTTAGAACTCACATATGGAGAAAGATTTACAAAAGAATACTATACAAAAATATGCAGTTACAAGACATGTTCTCAAAAGTCAGAGAAAGGAAAACAAACTTGGGCTGAAGTTCGACAGCAAAGATTTTTAGGAAGAGGGCAGGATTTCAGCTCCTGGCCTTTTCCTGAACATCGTGAGAATATGGACAGAGAAGTGGGGACCAGGAAGCCTACAGAACAGTACAGAAAGGAGACAAATCAGCCTTCTGAGGGCTAAGCCAGGGCAGGTTCTGAAATCAGGAGTTTGGGACTCATTCCATAAGGCAGGAGGGAGCCACCAAAGTTTCTGGAGCATCCAACCATATTTTAAAAAGAAGTCATGACTTTTTTCAATTTAAGAACAAAATAAAACACCGAGTTTTAGAGGGTGGATGGATGGATCGGATAGGGAGGGCACAGTGAAGAGCTGATCTACTGAGCCTGGATTGGGAGAGGCAGCTAAGGCTGGGGAAGAGGAGAGGTTGGACTCAGCAAAAGGAAGGATGAGGGGGATGAGGAATTGATGATTAAAATGGGAGGAACCTCGGGGTATGAGAGTGTTAAAAAGCCCCTGGCCATGTAAGTGAGCTAGAATAAGAAGTCAGAGAGCTGGACTATGGGAGTAGCTGATGAATCTGTTCTTAGCCACAGCTGTGTGAGATAGAACATCAGTACTGGAATCGGGCTTTGATTAGAACACCCTGTCTTTAGTTGACCCTTTTTAAATACAAAGTGAATGGAGACACAAAACCCATTTTTAAAATTATGGTACTCTTACCATTCAACAAAATATCTTTTGTTTTGCTTTCTGTGAATTTTTAGGATTAAAACAAGCATCACCTTGATATTTTCCAACATAGTAGAGCTGTGTTTGGAGCTCAGTCTTTTCAGGCCAGAATCAATAGGCAAGGAAATGGCCAACAAAGAGAAGGAGGCACCTCCTGGCCTTTTTAATTTAAACCCTCTCCATTCTGCTACCCAAGCATCTTAGGGTCAGTTTTTCTGATCATGTAGGGTATCCTCTGCTTGTCACATGGGGATTTTGATTCCAAAGGATTGGAATATACTGTCCAGTTTCTGAAACCAGATGTCTAGATGGCCTCCTATAGTCAGTCAAAAGCCTCAAACACTAATTCTCAACCCCTAAAGGATGCACATTCTTAGCTTTAATTTTCTTAAAACATAATCTCAAAATACTCTTTTAAAATCTGCTTTTCTCTCCAATTCACTCTTCATATACCAGTAACTTAGGTCAGCTAGTTCAGGAAGACAGTTATCAGACTGGGTTTTAAAGAGTTGAAAATATGTATTTGCGATTATTCTGCAGGGTGATTTGTCCTTTCAGATGGAGCTTGAGCCTAAAAAAATTGAAGTGGGAGCTGAACATGGCAAAATGTGTTTGCTTTTCTTAGATAAATCTGTTAGTCTGTGTGTGCTGGAAAATGGCATTATTCCTCCATTGGAAATCACACTTCCTACACAACATACGCCACTCTGCCTTCTCTTCACAGACTTTCCCAAGCAAGGTTCAAAATCCCTCCTGTATTTGTAGTCAATTCCATGGTGAAACCATTACTTTGGTCCCTCTATTGGGCTCCAAGACAAGATTCTTTTCAAAAGAGCATTTAACAATTAGCCAGTCCAAAAATGTAGCCATGAATAGCTTTCAAACGGGTTTCTCAGTGCATACTGTTAAGAAAGCAAGCAAAACTCACCAGCAATAAAGGATGATGGATAATGGAATTCTGTGTCTGATAAAATGCAAAAGTGATACATGAAAAAGCACTGATACTACACATATATTGAGCTTATAGACTTACCAGATTGAAGAGTGTCAAGTATTTAGTCTGTGCACCGTCTTGAAAGATAGTTCCAAGTTGTGGGATGTAAACATTGAGGAAAATGTACCAGTTCCAAAGAATGAAGTGGTATGCACATGTAGAAGTCCTCGTCATGGCTACCTCTACACAGGTCACCGTGAACACATCCAGTCGTCTCTTTCCTTCTGTGGTCACAGCTCAAATCCTGTGCAGGCTGGAGAGCTGTAAAACACACCCCTTTGGGAGTGAGAGTTCCAACATGGCTGGATTTTGCTTCTCTCTTAGGTTCTTTTCCAATGTGGGAGAAAGGCTTATTATTGTTACTGGTTTTCAGACATCTGTGTTTAGCTAATGGTAGATTATCCGTGGAGATTGCACTCGTTGCAGTGGTGTTTTGAAGAAGGGATGAAGCAAGGGTTGCACTTTGCACTGTTGGACTAGGTCACTGGGGCAGTGGCCTGGTTAAAGGGCCCTCTTAAGAAATACCCACAAAATCTAGTAAAATATTACCATGGCCTGACTATCTTTTCCTTTGAGCAGAACAGGAAATTACAGCGCTATCTCTGGAGAGAAAGAGCAGCAGGTTGATAAGGCGGAAGGCGGAGACTACTGAGTGTGTCTAGGGTGTGAAGAAAGGGAAGGATCTGCTCCTGACATCTCTGAAACAACCTTTGATCCTCCAGGCAATAGCCCCAAGGGTTGTTTTTTTTCCTTTTCCTTCTTTTTTACTTTTACATCTTTGTCCTAGAGGAGGAAGGGTTACCCACAGGCATTTCTGTGCTTGGGGGGAAGAAGCGAAGGAAGAGCTCTGTGGTCCTGCTGCCCACATACCTGAGTGCAGGCAGTGCCGGAAGAGGGACAGGGTCTCTGCACTGTCCTGGTGGGGAAGAGACAAGGCTGGGCTGGGTGGGCACAGGTCCGGACCCTGCCTCAGCCTCAGCTGAAGGGCACCAAGAGGGAACTGGAAGTGAGACTCCTTGTGACATCACCAGCTAGTTTCCCTGGGCAACTGAGTTGCCCGGTTGAGCAAATTCTTCAGAGAAATGCACCCAACACAGTTATGTAAGTCTGCAGTTGGTGCTATTGATGATTTTAACAGGGCTCTCTGGAACTGGGAGGAAGAGCCACAGGGTAAACAGGGAGAGCAAAGCAAACACAGAAACAAACCTACCTCCTATGAGTCAGTGGACTCCACAGATCAGGATCTGTAGATGGGTGGGGAACTGGCCAGAGCCAGCAGTTCAAAGGCTGCATGGTAAACATATCTTAGTCTGTTGGGATGGCTGTAACAAAACACCCCACTCCGGGTGGCTTATAAAACAACAGAAATAAAACAAAACAAGAGAAATCCGTTTCCTATACTTCTAGAGGCTAGAAGTCCAAGACCAAGGCAGATTCAGTGTCTGGTGAGGGCAGGTTTCTGACTCATGGGTGGCCATACTGTCTCTGTGTTCTCCCATAGAGAAAGAGGCCAAAAGCTCCCTTGGGCCTCTTTTATAAAGGGAAGAATTTCATACATGAGGGCTCTTACCTCATCACCTAACCACCTCACCAAAACCCTGGATACAAACATGTAGACCATAGCAAATCATTTTCAAAGGAAGAAAATGATTGAGACATGGGTGACATAACACTGTACAAAACTCTACAGCCTAGGCTAAAACTACAAATAACAATGGCTGGGAATAGTTTGACAGTACTCACTGTTTCCAGGCATTGATCCAAGTGCTTTGCATATGTTGACTCATTTAACCCTTTAAACACCACTATGAGGTTAGTGAGTTATCACCTGCATTATCAGATGAGCAAGCCCAGGCTGTCAAAAGGATGCATTCAGCAACTATTTAAGAGGCAGAGCAGCAGCCTGTACTGGTAACCAGTGTACCTAACTACAAAGAAACAACATGTGCTCCCTTTTCAATATCTTCTTCCCTCTCCCTTTCATTTCTTTATCACCCATCAGAAAATTCTCTCAACAAAGGTTAGAAATTTTGAAACCTGGTGCACGCACGAGATACTTTGGCATGTCTCCATTTTAGACATCACTGTGGATTTAGAGATTTTTATCCCTTTATACAAAAACCTTCAGCGTAAATTACAGGGTAAAGACCGAGACAAAGCTGTGAAAGGAGGAGAAAGGAAGGAACCACATCTCTGAAATGTCTGTCTCAACCTGGAGCTGGCTTTCCATCATGTATGATCCTTCCCTGTATTTGCCCCAAAGCCCACAGATGAGCCCTCTCCTAAATATTCATACGATGATTCAAATTTATTTGTATGAGATTCAGTGCTTGACATTAAAATCCAATTAATTTCCAGCATTTTAATAAACAGTAACAAGCAATGCATAGGAAGATTTATATATAAAATTATGTAATTTCTAAACTCATTATCTACTTTTTTTTCACATTGGGGAATTGAACACAGGATCTTCACATTGAGCTACATGCCTAGCCCTTTATAAATTTTATTTTACTTTATCTTTTAAAATTTTAAGACAGGGTCTTATTAATTGAGATCCTACTGTCTCAGCCTCCCAGAGTGTTGGAATTATAGGCATTCACCACCAAATCCAGTTACATTTTCTTATAAAACTTTGCACAGAAGTGTTGCTAAAAGCATGGCACACTCTCCACTGTGACCATACCCCCATCATAATTTGTATGCCTGGTTGAATAACTAGATACATTTTCAAGGGCCATTTGGCCAACTGTTTCCCCTCTTGAGACCAGAAGCTTTGGGAAACAATGAGTCCCCATTTAGGAGCACAGTATTGTGAACTAATGCACATGAAGTCTGCCCTTTGCCTTTGTCATCTCTTCAAGAATGTGGAAGCCTCTTGTCCCATTGAGGAGAGATTTTTTTAAAAAAATGTTAACGTCTTAAAATAAGTGAGACCCTTAAGGTGGAAATTTTTTTTAACACAAGAAGCACTAAAAATATAAGCATAAGCACACATCATACCTAGAGCATTATATGGGTAATTCGATTAGTAAAAATGACATTCTTTGCAACTGTCTACAACATTCTAGGAGCTTGGAACTCCGTTATTTAATTTCCCAAATATTTATTGAACAACTACCATTTGCCAGACTTTTATTAGGTTAGGGGAATTTCCTAAGGATTAAGAGAGATCCAATCCTTGGCTTTGTGGAGTTCATAGTCTAGCAGGGGAGATAGTCAGTTGACAAGTACAAAATCTGTGCTAATTTATAATTACGGAAGCTTCTGTGAAGGACACAGCAGACTCACTGGAGAAGTCTATACCATCAGAGGTGGGGTTGGGAGGTCAAGGCAGCTTCCCTCGCGGGCCAGCTGGTTCCCAGCACAGCCAGCACACTCCTACTCTTCAGTGGGCTCCTGTTTTCTTTCTTTGCTAGCTTCTTGTGTTCATGTTTCCCAGGGAGCAGAGCCCCCTTTCCATACCACATACTGACCCGAGTGATTTCAGCCACCATCATGGTTTCTACCTCCACCTTTGTTATCTCAGATTTTTTTTCTTTTTTCTTTTTTTGGGCAGGGCGGGGGGGGGCGTACCAGGGATCGAACTCTGGACCTGGGCTTGCGAGGCAGGCGCTGGAACCACTGACCTAAATCCCTGGCCCTGTTATGTCAGATTTTAAACCTCTAGGTCAGGGCCTCTCTCCCACCCCTCCAAGCTTCAAGTGTGTGTTTAGCTACCTGCTGTTAAGAGTAGGTCAGACACACCTCAAACTCAACATGTCTAAAACAAAGCCACTTCCTTCCCCCAGATCTGACCCCTCTTGTCTATTCAGTCTTGGATGAAGGCTCCGTCGTTCACACAGGAGGCTCTCTTGCCTCTTCACTCTCCCTGACCCCCCATTTCCCATTATCCACAGAGTTCTACAAGTTGTCTCCCAAGTCAGGTTCACACCAGTTCCCTTCTTTCCAACCCTTGCATAACTACCCTGGATCAAGTCTTCTCCGTCTCCTGGATTCTGGTTTTATGTTTCATTCTGCTCTTCACAAGGTCAAAGGGTAACTCATTCTAAAGTGTCATGTTTGTCCGTGGCTTATATCCCTTTACCACACCAATGTCCACCTACACCTACAGCATGATATCTGAGTTCGTAACTTTTCATAAACTGCCCTCTGCCACTTATCTTTGATACTCGCTCCAGCTTCACCTTTTGTCTCATACTTGACATTCCTCCAATAACACCAAAATGATAGTAACATCAACCACACTGGCCAGGTCATTACCACCTCCTACACACACACACACACACACACACACACACACACACACACACACACTCGCACTACCTTACTCCTCCTGTCTCCTCTCCATGAAAACAAAATTCTGCCATTTGCAACATAAATGAAATAGGAGGACATTCTGTAAAGTGAAAAAAGAGAGGTACGGAAAGACAAATACTGCATCATTTCACTTATGTTAGGAATCTTTAAAAAGTTAAATCTGTAGAAGCAGAGAATACAGTGTCAGTTACAAAGCAATGGGTGTAGAGGTGGGTTGGTGAAAGTTAGTTAGAGGACATGAAATTTCAGTTTGAAAGAGGGAATAAGTTCAAGAGATCTATTGCTGTGCATCATGGTGACTCTAGTTAATAACAGTTAAATTGTGTTCTTGAGAATTACTAAGGGTAAATTTTAAGTGTCCACATCATAAAAAAATAAATGTGTGAAATAAAGTATATGTTAGTTAGTGTGCTTTCGTTAGTCCACAATGTATACATGTTTCAGGACATCATGTTGTACACCATAAATGTATACAATTTGTATTTATCAATTCAAAAATAAATAATTACACTAAATATATGTGTTGAATAAATGAATATGTGAACAATAGGTGTACCAGTCTCCTGAGTTTTCCTGCAAAGCCACCTCATTTGTGAAAATCCTACTATGCTCAGAATGTTCAGCTGCTGGGTTCAGAGGAGGAGGTGGAATGCTAGCAGGAATGAAGTCAAAGCCTACACTCTGGAGGAATTCAAAGCCAAGTGGCAAAGACATATGTAAACAAAAAATTACAGCACAATGTGATAAGTACAATAATAGAGGTATGCATAAAGCACTCATAGAGCCTAAATTATCCTGCACATTATTCTGACATTTTAATAGGCAGAAGATTGAGCGAAAGATGCGTGTATTTAGTAAATCATGGGAAACTCCAGATATCACGCAGAAGATAAAGATTAAAATAATCTCACTGAATATAGTCATCATGGCCACCAGCACCCATAATAGTTTTACCCAGTACAGATGTAACCCATTCCCAGGCTGCTCACTGAGTAATAAGGCTCCAAGAGCAAAGACTCATGGAACCCAAGCTGGAAACTGAGCCTGCACACACAGCATGGGTGGGGGCTGATCAGCCATCAGCCTCACAAGATTGTTAGGGTTTAGAGCTTAAAGATCCCCCAAGGCCCACGTGGTAAAGGCTTCATTGTCAGCCTCTGGTGCTGTTGAAAAGTAGTGGAACTTCAAGAGATAGGGTCAGTCAGGGAGAAGTTCTGTTTCCAGGGGCATGCCCTAGAGGGGATATTGGGATCCTGCCCCTCTGCTTTCTCTTTGCTTT